GAGGGTTAGTTTTGTAGGTGTGTACATGCCAGCAACTAGTAACACTAGAATGAAGGTGGATTTTGTACGCGATGTTCTGGTATATCACTTGAGAGGTTTACCTGCTTTTACGGTGATTGGTGGGGATTGGAATTGTGTCATTAGGAATGGTGATGTGGTTCCGAGGGGGGCGGGTTGTGTTTTGGGGGTTCTGCGGGATGTTTTGAGAGATGTTGGAGTGGTAGATGTGGTGGGAAGTAGGGGATATGGAGTGGAGCACACTTTTATCCGTAGGGGATATGAGGCACGGTTAGATAGGATTTATGTTACACAGGGCATAGGTGTGGCGAGGGTGAGGACTATCGATGTGGGTTTTTCTGATCATCGTGCTGTTATAGCAGATTTGAGGGTAGATGGCATAGTGAGAGTTTATGCAGGATACTGGAAATTAAATGTGAAGCTACTTAGGGACGAGGGTGACCCTACAGGTTTTGAAGATTGGTGGAAAGCTTTTTGGGAGTCTAGGAATATGGATATGGATTTGCTGGATTGGTGGGAAATGAGGGCTAAAGTTGAAATCGCTAAAATTTTTAAAGTACGGGATAAGGAGATGGCGAGGTGGAGCTATGGTCTACAAAATTATCTTGAGGGTCAGTTAAATGACTGTTATGCAGAGGAACGGGTGGGACGGAGTGAGGACATGGAACGTTTGTGAAATAGGTTGGCGGAAATTCACAATGAAAAATTTGAGGCAATTCGAGTTAGGGCGGGGTTGGAGGATGTTTTAAGGGGGGATAGGCCATCGGGTTTTGTATTAAGGAGGTTTAAGGAACGGCAGGCGAAAACCACCTTGGCGTATATTGAGGCAGGTACAGGGGGGGGGGGGGTGGCTTTGAGGAGGGTCAAGGCCTATTCACCACGGAAAATATTAGTTTGTATGCAGATTTTTGGTTTAGGGAGAAGTGGAGGAGGGTTGGCGGGGGAGTGGGTGAGGGACGTTTTGGGGATGAAGGGTTTAATAGGGTATTAAGTGAGCAGGACAGTGACAGACTCGAGGGTAGTATTAGTGTAGAGGTGGAGGAGGAGGCAGTTTTTGGGATGTGCCAGGGTAAAACCCCAGGCATAGACGGCATACCAAACGATTTTTATAGGTGTCATTGGGGGAGTGTACAGCATTGTCTGGTGGGGGTTTTGAATTGTATGTTAAGTAGTGGGAGGATGGGGAAATCGCAAAGAACGGGTGTCACGGTTTTAGTGCCCAAAAGAAGGAATGCCGAGTTTTGAATGATTACCGTGCGATTACGTTAATGTGCTCGGATTACAAGATTTTTGCTAAGGTTTTGGGCAACAGAATGAGGAAAGTGTTGGGTTTAGTGTTACATAGGGGGCAGTTGGGAATTCCGGGAAGAAGGATGAGGGATGGACATGGTTTGATTAGGGATTTTCTAGAGAGATGTACGGGAGGGGTAATACTAGGTTTAGATTGGGTGAATGCATATGATTGCGTGGACAGAGATTTCTTAGGGGTTTGCTTAGAGAGGTTGGGGTTTCGGGAGGGGGTAGTGAGGTGGGTGAACACCCTGTATGCTGAGGCAGAGGTGAGGGTACAGGTCAATGGGAGGTTGGGTGAAAGTGTATCGATGGAGAGAGGTTTGAGGCAGGGCTGTCCGATGTCACAGCTGCTCTTTGCGTGTGTGCAGAGTCCTTTTTATGAGTCTGTTGAGAGAGTGATGGACAAACAGGAGATGGAAGGGGGGTGCAAAGGGGGCATCGTTGGGTATGTGGATGATACTACTGTTTTGCTACGGGGTAAGGAGGAATTAAGGAGGGTGAGTAGAGTGATTCAGATGTATGGTAGGAATACCGGAATGAGAGTTAATACGGTGAAATCAAGATTACTAGAGGTCGGTAATTGGATAGGGGGGGGGCTTGGGGATGGGGTTAGGATGGACAGTGGTCGACAGAATCAGAGTATGTGGGATATGGTATATGGTGGAAGTGCAGGCAAGCAGAAGGGTAAATTCGGAGTCTGTCACGGGTAAGGTTTTAAGTAGACTAGGAGGTTTAAGTGCGAGGGACTTAGCTTTACATCAGAGGGTGGTGGTGGTAAATTCGCTTGTCTATAGCAAGGTATGGGGGGTGGCAGAGGTTTTTCCCTTAGAGGTACGAGATATTGTGGAAATGCAGAGGAGGGTGCTGAAGTTTGTGTGGGGATTTGGGAGGGCATGGTTAAGTACGGAGGTAGTTATGACGGATGTTCGAAGAGGGGGTTTAGGTTTGTTGCCTTTAGGACTGAGAGTAATGGCTGTATATATCAAGCGGAGGTATATGAGGGAAGGGGGTGTGAGGGGCGCTAAAGTAGGAAGAGTTATGGAGGAGGCACGTGAATGGTGGAGTGGGAAGGAATTGAGGTTTTGTGAAGATATGTTGAGATTTTTATTGACAGTGCAACAGGTGGATAACATCAAAGTGAAAAGGTTGGTGAGGGTAGTGAAAGGTCAGGGAATTATGCAAGGGGTAGCCGTGTATCCAACGTATGATTGGGGGGTTATTTGGAAAGATTTTAGTAAGCTTAGGATACCAGCTAGAGTAAGAGAATTAGTGTATCGTTTTATCATGGGGATTCTGGCTTCCAAGGAGGTGTTACGTTGTATGGGGTTTGTGGAAGAGGCTTTTTGTCAGTTTTGTGGTGATGTTGAAACGGCGTTTCATGTGGTCTTCTTTTGTACCTCCTTGGAGGGGGTGAGATCATGGATGGGTGGGGTTATCAGACTGTTGGGGGGGGGGGTCGTTTGCCGCTTTTTAAGGGCTTTACTACTAGATGTAAGGGGAGTGCCTAGGGATGTTGGAAGGGCTATAATGTATATCATAGTAGATTATCTGGACATTTCATGGGGAATGAGGGGATTAAGGGGTGATACAAGGATAAAAGCGCTGGCGGCTAGATTCTATAGGACGAAGTGTAGGAATATGCAGGTTTATGGGGAGTCCTGGGTTCCCTTTGTCGGGGTCCCTGAGGATGGACAAAGGAATGGTCTCCTTATGGGGGGATGTAAAGGGGGGGGGTTGTTTTTGTTTTTCTCTGGAGCTTATGTAGTGTGTAAGAGGAAGGTAGTGAGAATTAGGTATGGATGGTACGCCATGTTTCACGAGAATGTTTGTCATAGTGAGATATAAGTGTGGTTTCCAGGGTTACATTTCTAAGCCTGATGGTTATGTTCACTGTTTTTAAAATTTCCTTGATAGCCAGGATACCGAGCCCTTAGGATCTCGTTTTTAAGTAATTAGATTGGCAAGTTGGTTTCAACAAAAAATTTTCTGAGATACGTGTCAGTTCTTTTGGGACTGGCAAATTACAGCTGCCTTATCCTTATTACTTCTCTTGTCTTATGTTTAACTTTTATTGTCTGATGAAGGTTCTATGTGAAAAAATTTAAGTGTATGTATAGGTTTTGGGTCTATACCATGTTTTTATGGGGTTATACCAACGAAGTCTTGTGGACAAGATTTTCGGTTTACATACATATGTGGAAGGTTTAATTATGTATAGGGTTTGGTTTTAAACCCTTTAATGTGCCGAGGTTTTGTTATAAAAACTTGTTTTGTGTTATTTTATTATTGTATGTTACATGTATGTTGTTCTGTTTTCTGTAGCAGAATTATTGTATTAGAGGGTTAACATATTAATAATAGTAAAATACAGTTTCTCTATTGTTATTGTGCATAAGGAATCATACGTTCCTTCGAATTCCTATTGGTTAGGATATAATGTAACATAACCAATACTCTGTACCCTGTCATAGCGGGTATGTTAGAGTTTTGTCTTGTTTTGTAGTTGTTATGGTAGCTTTGGTTAGGGTCTTTTTACTTTACTGACATGATATGTGTAGTACATATATTGTATGTTAAAGGTGGTTATGGTTTTAGTCGTGTATGAAAATTTCAACTTTAGTAATCTTGTGATGTTGTACATTTGTATGTTGTTTTTGTTGTGATAGGACATGTCAGGTATTCATTTTATATTGTTAAACTATGTAAAGTTTCATTTTGGTGTGTTGTCGTTGGGTACAATAGCTTGGCGGCAACTATTAATAACTGTTATACATTAGTGAGGTTTGCCTCAACGTGTATTGTTTGCTATAACAAGATGTTATAATACTTGTTCCCGCCAAGAATAACCTGGTACTAGTAGCACGAAAGAATGTTTTGTATTCCTGTACTTGATTATGCATCCTTTGTACTTTTGTAAGGTTTCTAATAAAAATATAAAAAAAAAAGTTCTTTTTGAATAAAGTCATGAGATACACTTACTAGTTGACAACTGTTTGGGGTTACCCCTTTATTGGTATAGTATGTTTGAAACTTATCAGAGTCTGTGTTAAAGGTTATACGAGTTACGAGAACAAAAGCTAGTTATCGACATATTTCTTGAGTAAATAGGCACAATGCCTTGACTGGAACAATACAAACAACCCGCACACAGGTGTTCAGATTTTAAATCTCAGAAGGTTACGCCACCCAGGATAACCCAAGAAAGTCAGGCGTCATAGAGGACTATCTTATTTCCATTGGGGCCCTTAAATGTTGTGTCCCAGAATGCGACCCACACCAGCTGACTGACACCCAGGTACCTACTTGCTAGGTGAACGGAGACAACTGGTGTAAGGAAACACGCCCAATGTTTCGCCCTTGCCGGGGATCGAACCACAAACACTCAGTGTGTGAAGTGAGAGCCTTCCCTACCAGCCACGAAACACCAACTTACGACATTTTGGTCAGACCTGGATCGTTTTAACTAATAAATAGTCGTCCTTAAGTTTTATTCTATATGCGAGTTGTGTATACGTATTTCTTAACACTAGGTATCAATCACGATAATTGTGTTCTTGGCGTGTTTCTTCCAAGGATTACAAGATTTTCTTCATATAACTCTCAAGATTTGCAACCCAAACCCAATCTAGCCACTGTCATCCAATTGTCTTATTTCCATTGGGGTCATCTCCCAGGATGCGACCTACGCCAGTCATCTAACACCCAGGTACCTACTTACTGCTAGGTGAACAGGGGCAACAGGTGTCAAAAAACATACCCAACGTTTCCACCCGTCCGGGTGCTCAGTGTGTGAGCTAAAGCCGCTACTTAAATTGAGCCATGAGCACATTTATGACTTCATGGTGTTAGCTAAAGAGGTTAACTAAGCTTCAGTAAGCTTACCCTGGGAGGTCAGAGAGGTGTGTACCCCCACTAACAGTGAGGTAATAATCACTTTGGCCTCACTAACCTTTCTCCAGCAATCATACAACAGTTATGCGATACCGAGAGGTTCTGGGGGGTGGGGGGGTAGACGCAAGATGTCAACAATGGGATATTTTCTTGGGAACTTGTCGGTGCTAGGATCTTGGTCACTGCAGCTGTGACCAAGGTGAATTGACGAAGGTCCAAAGGCAGTTCCTAATACAATACCCAAGTGTTTGCAGTTTAGAGAGACTACAACACCCAACTCTTGGTATAAACTTTGATAATAGATACCGACAAATTAGTTGAGAAAGGCACGAGAGCAAACATTAGGAAAGGTTTCTGTCATGGGGCCTTGATTACTTGTTAAAGTGATCAAGGTCCCATTGCCGAACGTTTTCTAATACATATGGCCTAGTGTTTACTTACGTGTCTTTTTAAGCACCTAGATCCTTCCTAAACACCCTCATTCCTCCCCCACTGCATTCCCAAGTCTCCCAACACATCCCCAGGTCTCCCAACATATCCCCAGGTCTCCCAACACATCCCCAGGTCTCCCAACACATCCATAGGTCTCCCAACACATCCATAGGTCTCCCAACACATCCCCAGGTCTCCCAACACATCCCCAGGTCTCCCAACACATCCCCAGGTCTCCCAACACTCACCTCAAGACCGAAAGCAAGGATAACAGCGACGCTGAGGGAGGCTCCAGCAGCTATGAAGTCTGGTGTGGTATTGTAAAGTGGCAGACGACCCAAGTGTGCGGCTACGAAGCTTTCTACCTTCCTCCCTGATAGGTAGTCCATCGTAGCTGACTGCCAACATACACAATAACTCAATAACTGGGATTTAAAGCATATCGACTACAAGCGGGTCATTAACGCTACACATAATCTATTCAACACTAAGCAAGAATACTTGACTGGTGCTGAATAGATTATGAGGCGTAATACATCACTGTGTATACAGTGATGCCTCTCAATGTATATATACGTTTGACACAACACGTAAGTTACAGTGACTCGCGTAACAGTGGAACACTAACTTTACTGGGTTATTCTAGGTTAAATAAGGTTGGTTTACTAGGTTTGAAGCAAATTTGCAACGCATTTTTTTTTGTTAGGCTGCAGGATTAATGGCAAGAATGGTGAAACTGAATAATTAGGATAGACCTGTGGAAAATTGCATTTAGCTGAATGTATCATTATATACATAACAGTAAATGAACAAAGATAATTATTATTTATCAGTTAGACAAGTAGGAATTTGGGACATCTAGGTCACAAAAAATATTCCCCTTCGATACCTACCACTGTCATATCCACAAGTTGCTCTGGACCTATTAATTACCAATGAAATATGTATAACCAGGAATACTGGTAAATATATAAATTTTGTGGATTGTATATTAAAAATAATAAATGGTTATATATATAAACAATTACATAACAGAAGGAAAATATATCTTAATATCACTCACCAATTTGACTGGATATTAAGTTGTATCATACTCAGAAAAACCTCACTAACTAAATTTATGAAAACACTGGCCAGAATTATACACAAATCTAGAGAGTTTATCTGAGGTTCAAGGAGCTGTCTTGTCCAGTCGGCTGATATCTCAAGTTATGCAGGAATGCACATCCAACAATTTCGCCTCCTATTTGAGAGGTGTCAACACAATTTTAACCTCTAGAGCACGAAAAATTCTTCCCATTATATTAACGTTGTATCCAATTCAAAACAAAGATGGCGAGTCTCGTCTGCGCAGACGCAGGCTTTCCGTTTTCTATGACATAAATATTATTAAATACAGTATACCTGGAGTTTACCTGGGAGATTTCCGGGGGGTCAACGCCCCCCGGCCGGTCTGTGACCACCCCCTGGCATCAATTTAAAATTAAATACTGAATTTCTGGAAAAATATAACAGTATTTTCCACAAGACCAGGGGGGGAAAGACAGAGATGTTGGGGGAAAAATGGCCCTGACTATTTGGGGTAGGGTTTTAAGGGGTAAATATATTATACATTCAATTTTTTCCACTTGGGGGCACATAGGGCATTGAATAAATTTTAACCCAAAAAAGTAATGGATTTATTTCCACTGGTTCCATGTTTTTCCCTTTAGAAAAATTAGCATAGATATTTTTTAAAAAATCCAAAAGTATCAAAAATTCGGAGGTAGGCTTAGAAAGACACCTCAAAGAAAATTTAAAAAAAATTTCTACAAAGCCAGTCAACATGAACCAGTTCAAGAAAAGTGCCAAAAGGGTGTCTGATGAATGAGCTACAAAAAGGGAGGGAATGATTTCTATTTTTTAGCTAACATACGTGTAAATTTTCCCATTTTCCCTAGAAATGACCCCGATTGTAGATAGTCTTAATGACCTTGGTGTGTAATATTTTTTTAGTAGAAATAAGAGGGGTTATCTTATTGTAAAATAATAAAAAAAATTTTATAACCTTTTATTAAATAATGGGGAAAAAAGGCCCAAATGGAAATAATCACTCTGTTGATTTTTTGGGTTACCTAGGTTCTCTACAATTTTCTGATGATGAAAATTTCTATTAACGTTTTTTGTGTAAACCTGAATAAAATTATTATTTTACTTACAGGGGAAACTATGAGGGAAAACAAAGAAGAGAAAACGTAATATAATTTAAAAGGGAGACTCTAGAGAGGGGCACTTTTGTATATTTTTCCCTTCTATATCCCCGTTCATTACCCCTTTCTTGCTCGCTATCAAACTTTGGGGGTCCATCCCTGGACCAATTATTACCTCTTTAAACTTTGACTACCCCCCCACAGGTGGGGATGGGGGCATAAAAACATATTAAACTAACTATATCCCTGTTTCCTCTACGATAGGTAACTTGACTATTATTTTGTAGTTGGAGTATTTTTTTTATATTTTATTTAAAAACTGAACATACAATACATACATGAGATATGCATTATCGAAGAAACAAGTAGGTTAAACAAGGAAAAATACATTGAAAACTTCCTCGTCAAAAGAGGAAAACATACCAACCCCTAAATTAAATGAACAAATCACTAGTGTCCAAAACTCACTATCCAGTGCATTACTGAAAATGCAATTAAAACATAATTGACGATAAGTGGTAACAAACATTATATTTGAAATCACTAAAAATCGAAACAAAAATTATACCTACAACTGTAACATAAGCATCGTTTAATCAGGTATATGTCCTGTTGTGTTATTGATATAAATATATTATATTGAAAAACTTCACGTGACAAAAGAACTGGTATAAAAAAAAATTATATTACACGATCAATACAAAAGGTTTAGGTTACAGCCCAAGAGGTGGCTGTAGTATTAGGACATGGAATCAAGATTATTTATTATAATCAAAAGGAAGGGTGATACCACAAGGAAATCAATTGTAAGCTCCTAATTAACACTTACAATCAATATTAGCACCCAAAAGCGTGCGAGCCATAAGGTTAACTGTGGGAATACTTCGACGTACCCCCCCCCCTCCCTGTTTAAAAACCTTTTTCCCAACACACCAACACATATTATCCATCATTAAATCCTTAAAACTTGTAAATAGGAGTCTATAGATGACTACCTGATAAAACCATATGTAGATGCTATACTGTGCCATTCCTTCAGAAAATGAACGACAAACCTCATGAGTTGGTCGTTTTACAAAAGGCGTCCCAAAGGACAAGTTGTCTTTTACAGACCAATTATAATGCTTAAAAATAACCCCTATCAAGGCAATAAACACTATTATTTGAAGCTGACATCAGTGTGGCGATTGTATGATACAATATCATGAACATGCCTACGTAATCACTGGGAAAGACCCACATGGACATCTCTACGTCACCAAGAAAACATCAGCAAAAAATTTTTATACAAATATGCGCAAATGTACAAACCCTGACATGGCCGTGTTTGTATATTTTACCGAAGAAAACCAATTTGCCCAGCTTGCTATACAAAATGCCCAGAGCAAAAAAAAAAAAAAAAAAAAAAAAAAAAAAAAAAAAAAAAAAAAAACAAATATCTCAGACACACATCTTAGCACTACCATGCAACCACAAGCACACAATATCATAACCATAACCCCACAGCCCAAAAACAATTAGCACTCAACCTTTCACTATACAATATCCTAACGTATGTAGCGGTGATTACCACGGAAGAGTCAGCCCACGATGCCTTACTCCCCCCCCCTCAGTTGCAAATAATCCGTGTACTGTAATACATATATATGCTTGCAGAGAAGGTGGACAAACCCACATGCCACTATTTACCGAAGGATACCTGTTGCCTTACAAGCTGTTCTATAAATACCCGCTGCAATTCCCTAAACCGAACTGCACACTCTGTTTCTCCATGCAACCACATGAACATATATAGGAAGTCAGCCACCACATATAGGATTGCCCTTTACCTCCTTAACATCCGCTAACGTCCAGGATAATGTCACGGAGAGTTGAGATACAGTTTCCCACTAGATCCCTAAAACCCTACCCCTCCCGCTTCACACACGGAGGGCCGCTGGTTCGATTCCAGTGCAGGAGTGGAAATTCCGACACGTTTCCTTACACCTATTGTCCTGTTCACTTAGCAGCAATAGGTTACCTGGTGTTAGTCGACTGGCTGTGGGTCGATCCTGGGGGACTCAAGATTTTAGGACCCCAATGGAAATAGTTAGACAGTCATCGATGACGCACTGACATTCTTGGTGTTATCCTGGTGGCTAACCTCCGGGGTTAAAAATCACGAACGAAATCTTATCTTATCTTATCTTAACCACGTACGAACATCGTCCAAAGCGTCACAAAAATAAACAGCATGGTATGCTGTTTCTTCCAAACCACAATGTAAACACAATGCGCATCTCTTACCAAACCCAACCTGCTTAAAACTGATTTCGAAGCTAAAATGCCCATGATAAATCTGTACACTAATTCGCGAACCTTCGGCGCCAACTTAAGCTTACAAAACCCGTCCAATATTTCTTTCCAATTATACAGCGGAAAAAGCAGACACCCCTTGCACAAATACCGATGCCAACATCTTCTCACCATCTGCCCAGCCCTAATGCTTTGAACATTTTTCAACTTTAACAACAGATGCAACATGTCCTCACACTCAATTAAGCCTCTATCACTCCACCATTTGCGTATATCTACCATTACCCTACCCACCCTGGCTCCTCTCTCCCCACCCTCCCTCAGGAATCGTTGCTTTACATATAGCCTTCGTCCGTGGCCCCAAAGCCAAGAGACCTAGACCCCCCAAGACGTACATGTGTCTTGACCACCTCCCTACTCAACCAAGCTCGCCCATAGCCCCATACATACCTTAAGACCCGTCTTTGCAGCTCCTGAATATCCATGTCCCTTAATGGGTATACCTCAGCCACGCCCCGTACCTTGCTATAAACCAGAGAGTTAACCACCTTTGAGACGATCTAAAGCCTTTTTGACCACTAGTGCAGAATTTACCCTTCGACCCTCCACCTCTTCCGCCATGTACACGATTCCACAAATTTTTAATTGCACCACTACCGACCAACCATACCTTTCGCCCAAAACCCCCCCCCCCACCCATGTACCCACCTCCAATAAGTTCGATTTTGCTCTGTTAACACACATACCAGTTACCGCCCCAAAAGCCGCAACAACCCTACCCACGATCTGCAAATCCCCCTCCCCTTTTAACAAAATTGTTGTATCATCCACGTAACCGACTACGCACACACGATTATTATCCTGTATCCCACCTCCCAAACTGTCATCCACCAGATCGTAAAATGGATTTTGCA